GAGGCCCAAGTTGGGTAAAAGAGGGAGGGGGGAGAGGAGTGTAAAAGAGCTAAGACGAGGGGGGTTTTTTCCTCCCCTTTTTCTTCCCTCTCGCTTTGTCAGGGGCAGCAGGAGGGGACCCAGCAACCTGTGCAGCCGGAGAAGGTCGGTTGGGTGAGGAAATTCTGCGGGAAAGGCATTTTTCGGGAAATCTGGAAAAACCGTTATGTGGTTCTGAAGGGAGATCAGCTTTACATCTCGGAGAAGGAGGTAGGATCGGTTTCATTTTCCCTCTCCCATCCCCCCCTCCCCTTTCCTCCTCCTCCTTTGCATATGAAAAGCAGCCGGAGCAGCCCCAGCCCCTTCACCCCCAGCCCAGGGTTGAGGAGGATTCTCGGGGGGTTTCTCTTCCCCCCCCCTCCCATCACCCCAAGTCACCCTCGGAGAATCCTGGGGTCAGGTCCAGCACCTCCCACTGGGAGACATTTTCCCAGCACTGGACACATGAAAAAGCTTCACTTAGGGAGAGTTAAACCCTCATCACCCTTCCCAGCAGCACCAGTTCCCTTCTGTCCCCTGGCATGAAGTTCCACCCTGGTCTTGTTCCCTTGGGAACGAGTTCCCTGTTCCAACTTGGGAATGACTCTGCTTTCCCAGCACTGATGGATCCCCCTGCTCTTGCTTTCTTTGCTCCCCCACCGACCCCACTGGAGGAAACTGAGCCACAGGCTCAGCCCTTTGCTGACAAACTTGCCCCTTTCTCTCTTCCCCTCCCCTCCTTTCCATCGGGATTTGAAAAAAACCATCGGGTTTTTGGGGGGGGGGACTGGGGGGGGTGATGGTCAGCTTGGCAGGCTCTGGGATCTGCTCTCCCTGAAATCCAGCAGGAAGGAATCCCCAGGGAACAGCAGCTCCCCCCTCCCCTTGCCCTTGCAAAACTCCTGGATGCCCAGAGGAAGAGACACAGGAGTCAGGCTGGGGTTAGGACAGGGCACTGGGGCTAAAAACTGGGGGTCAGGAAGGGGGTTTTCCTCCTCTAAGTTATTCCCTTGCTGGGAATTGCTGGGCAGGGTGTTGGGATGTGGGGCTACCTGGGCACTTGATCAGTTGACAGGGTGCAGGACACCAAAGGTAATTGGATTTCGAGGCTAATTGACTCAAGGGTGAAGTGCAGCTGGATCAGGGGTTATTAGCACCCAGAAATAGCCTCAAAGCAGCCTGGAAGCCCCCTGGGACACTGAGCTATGGGTGGGCATTCCAGAGCTCCCTCCCACCCATCCCTGGACTGCTCCAGAAGCTGGGAGAGAGGTGGGAGTGGGGAATTCATGTCTGCAGGCTGGGGAGGGTTGGGGACCTCCAAACTGAGGTGAAGAGACATGAGGAGAGAGAGTAACAGAGAGCAGGAGTGATGGGGAGGCACTGAACTGGGAGGAGAGGCACTGAACTGGGAGCGATCCGTGGGCACATTGATGGATTGGCAAAGTTAGATGGAAAGCTGGATGTGAGGGGTAACAAACCCCCTCTGATTTGTGGTCCTCCCTAATTTCCTGGTGCTACCACAGCCTGTGGAGTGACTCTGGAGTCACTGACCAGCAGCTCCTTCCCCTCTGGGGCCACAGCTCAGAGTTTAGGAGCTGTGAGACACACACATGACACAGCTGGGAGGATTTTACCTGCTGCCTCTTCCCACCAGCCTGGGCAGTGGTTCCTCTGCCCTAGGGCCCCAATTCAGGCTGCACTGGAGCATGAAGTCCAGATAACAGGGATGGAACTGGAGCTTCTACTCTTTAAGGCAGGACCTGGAAAGAGAAGGAATCAATCATGACCCAGTCCAGATGACAGGGGAGCAGCCCGCTGGGCTCTGACTGCATTGGCTGTGCCAACACAGCTGGAGCTACTGGGAAGAGACTGGGAATAGACTGGAGGAGGTGGCTCCGTGGTGGTGGATCCACTGCAGGTGCTGGGCAGTGTCAGCAGGAGGATGTGAGGTCCTTGGAGCAGGTGTGAAGGTGCAGAGTCAGCAATGGGACTGAATGAAACTCCCAGCTGAGGTAGCAGGGAGGGTGTGGGGGGGTTGGAGGCAGACATGGGAACTTGCCAGGGTCCCTCTCACCACCAGGCAGTGGGGGAGGGAATCCTGTGAGGGGGAAAGAGGGAGAAACTTGGCCACACTGGACAAGGCAGCTGGGTTCCATGCTGGAAAAGTCCTCCAGGGCTGTCCCAGACCCCCCCATCTGCAGCCCAGACCTGTCCCAGACAGCACAGCCCCCTCTTTAGAGCAGTGTGAGAACCCTCCCTCTGACAGGAAGGACTCTGGGATCTTGTCTGGAAAAATAAAGAGTGTTTTCCAAAATCCTGGCCACCCTGAAGGCACCAGCTGGACCAGCATTGGCTGCAGGACCTCTGGGGTGCCCTGGGCACCAGCACTGCTGGGTGGGTGGTTCTGTCTGTCTCTGGTACCTCAGTTGTTTGAACCCTGGAGAAGAAAGTGACAGCAAAAGGCTCTACTTGGCTAAGGGGCAGGAGAAGCTGTGCCAGAACGTGCTCAGACAGGGAGCAACACTTTTAAGGTGTGCAGGAAAGTCTGTCTGTCCATCCATCCATCCATCCATCCATCCATCCATCCCTCTTCCCAATTCATCCAAGTATCTACCATAGGGCTTGGAGCAGCCTGGGCTGGTGGGAGGTGTCCCTGCCCATACAGGGGGTGGGACTGGATGAGCTTTGAGGTCCCTCCCAACCCAAACCAGTCTGTGATTCGATGAAGTGACTCCATGTGGCTGGGGGGGCAGGAGAAGGTTCCATTGTCACCAGGGAGAGATCTCCAAGAATCACAGAATCTGGGGGCGTTTGTGGGACCTGCTGAGCTGCTCCCCAGGGAGCTGGGGAGATCAGGAGGGATCTGGGCTGTTTGTGGCAGGACAAACTTGAATCATAGAACCATGGGCTGGGTTGGGATGGAGGGACCTTCAAGATCATCCAGATCCCACCCCCCGCATGGGCAGGGACACCTCCCAGCAGCCCAGGCTGCTCCAAGCCCCATCCAACCTGCCCTTCAACACCCCCAGGGATGGGGCAGCCACAGCTTCCCTGGGCAACCTGGCCCAGGCTCTCCCCACCCTCACACTCCACAATTCCCTCCTCAGCTCCAACCTCCAGCTCCCTCTCCCACTTTTCATCCCTCCCCCTCATCCCATCCCTCCCTGCCCTTGGCCCAAATCCCTCCCCAGCTTTCCTGGCTCCACAGGGCAGGGGGCTGCAGGCACCTGGCACTGTCTGTCTGAGGGTCTCTCTGTCCATCTCAGGGATGTCTGAGCTTTCCTCCTGGAGCTCCAGGCTCCATCTCCCTGCCCTTCCTCTCCTGGCAGCAGGTGCCTGCAGCTCCCACAAACAGCCTAATAAATTGGGCTTTGTTAAGCAGAATAGGATGGAGCCTCTCTTTTTTTTTTTTTCACACCTCAGATTATGTCCAGTGGAGAAAATGGAGCCAGTGCTGGACTCCAGAGCTGGGGGAGAGGCTCTGGAGAAACATCTCCCTGGGCTGAGTCCCTGAGGCTGCAGGGGGCAGGCACTGGAGGCAGCAGGAGAGGGGATTAAATAGTGGAGACCCGGAGGACACAGGAAGAACAAACCCTGGTGGAAATGGCCACTGGAGAGGCTGAACCTCAGCCCAGTTTCTCCCAGAGGAGACTCACTTGTTGGTTTCTGCACCAGATCCAAGTCCTCCTCTGCTGTAAATGATTTTTGCTCCCTCTAAGCCATTGGAGCAACAGGGTTTGGTGGATGGAGCTTGGGAGTTGACCCTCCTCTTAACCTTGGTGTTCCTTGTCAGCTCAGCAGATGCTCCAGAAGAGAGGCAGACTGGTCAGTGGGGGCAGCAGGACCCTCCCAGCACAGGAAGGGGTTAAACTCCAGGATTCCTGGATGTTCTCCTCAGCCCTGCCACACACTCACTACATCAATTCAGAGCAGACATTTACTTCCTTTTGCCTGAATTCCTTCCATCTGGGAAGCAGGGTGAGGAACACTCAGCTCCTCAAGGCACCAGGTGCCCAGGAAGAGGGAACTGGATGTCACACCCTCAGGGATCCCTTGGGAACCGGGGCAGCTCTGGGCAGGTAAAGCAGGGACACAAAGTCAAGTTGCTGGGAGCTGAGCACTGGTGTGACTTTGGGAAGCTCTGAAGGGATGTTTCCCAAAGGGTAACACCTCCTGGGCTGCCAAAATCCCACCAGGACCCACCCTGAAACCTGCTGGGAACTCTGTGCTTCTCCAGGTGCCTATTTAGGACCTGGACTTCTAGGTTTATTGATTTTTGGAGGAGATGTGAACACCTGAGAGCAACCTGGGCTTTCACCCTGGCAGAAACCAAGTCTCTAAGGAGATGAAATGGATTTTCTCAGACCAGCTGAGGTACCTGGAAAATGCAGACAGGGCTTTGGAGTTCTTAGGGCACCTGGAAGCTGTGAGCCTTGCTCTTAACACTCAGAACCTTTTCTGCTCTTCCCAAAATGGTAGTTGGGGCTCAGAGACCTTGTGTGGGCAGGTCCCCTTTTGCTTCAAGCTGAACTCTATGAACTTCTGCAGAAAGAAACACAACACACAGCAAAACCAACAAAAAAAACCCCAACCCTCTTCATTATTTAGCATCTGGTTCTCAGCCAAAAAAAGCAGTCAGGGCAGGGACACGTGAGACAAGATGTGCTGGAGGGAGCTGAGCTCTGCTAAGCACCCCAGCACCTCCTTACTATCACTGTGCATTCCTTCCTCTCCCTCTCCTCCACATGGGTTCCCTCCTCCCCCTGCAAATTTCTGGGAATTGTTCTCTTGTTTCTAGCCCAGCTGTGTTGTTGCTTTGCACTTGGGAGCAGCAGCCAGACCAGCACAGGCCCAGCTGGGCTCCCACCACTTCCTCTCAGGAAGGCCAGGGCTGTCCAGACAGCATCAAGGGGCTGGGTGCTGAGAGATGTTAATGAGGAAATGCTGCTGGGGCTTCCTGAAGCCTTTTCTTCTTTCTGACTGACTCAATTAGCACAAGAGCACTTGAAAAGTCCTCTCTGCTCCCTCCTCAAGCCCTGCCCAGTTCCCTCTGCCTGGGAGGGGTGGAGGCATTAAATGGTGTTCAGAGTTCACATAGAATCATGGAGTTATGGGATGGGTTGGGTTGGAGGGACCTTAAAGACCATCCAGATCCAACCCCCCCATGGGCAGGGACACCTCCCAGCAGCCCAGGCTGCTCCAAGCCCCATCCAACCTGCCCTTCAACACCCCCAGGGATGGGGCAGCCACAGCTTCCCTGGGCAACCTGGCCCAGGCTCTCCCCACCCTCACACTCCACAATTCCCTCCTCAGCTCCAACCTCCAGCTCCCTCTCCCACTTTTCATCCCTCCCCCTCATCCCATCCCTCCCTGCCCTTGGCCCAAGTCCCTCCACATGGTTCATGGTGTGATGGAGCCTGCAAAGGCCTGGTGGTGTTTTGTGCATGTTCTGTTCCTGCTCTTGGTGCTGTGATGATCCCTCATGGTCTGTGTTTGCAGTCAGTGGGTCCCTCAGTGCACAAGGTGTCTTCTCTCCCTCCATTCCTGCATTTTAACTGGTACCAGAGCAGGAGAAAACATTTCCCTTGCAGTGTCCCACTGTGCACAGGCAGCTTCACCCCGTGTCAGAGCATTTCCCAAGTCCCTCTTCACTGTGAGACCTGAGACTGCCTCAGTGCTCCCTGCATTTCTCCTTCCAGTTCCCTTGCAGACAGAACCACAGTTGCCCCCCCTGTGCAGCCAGGGAGCTGAGGAGGACAAGGAGCCAGTGCCAGGACACCCTGTCACCTGCCTGTCCCCTGCTGCATTCACAGCTCCACGGGTTCCCACCTCAGGGACAGCCTGATTGGAGCTGAACTCTGCAGAAATGTCTGTCCCTTGTTAGATCAGCTTGAGGAAGTGAAACTTTCAGCTCAGCTGGGGAGGGGAACAGGCAGCCCGAGTGTCCCCCCAGCCTGCCCATGTTTGGATGTTCAGCTTCACTGAGAGTCTCTTGTTACACCCTGAGCCTGGTTCTGACCCCTGGTGGATCCGTTACATTCGGTGTCTTGTGATTTTCTGAGCCACCCTCATTTGCTTTCAGCACTTCCCAGCTCCCCAGGGACCAGGCAAATCACCCCAGACATCCCAGAACTGCCTGAGGGACACCCCTTCCCCTCTGCTCCCCACAACACAGCCCTGAGCTGGGTCCAGGAGCTGTTGCAGGGGATAAATTGAGGAGGGAGGAAGTTTTTCCCTCTCTGCAAACCAGAGCCCAAGGGGCAGCTCGTGTGAAGCCCAGGAGGGATCCCCCCCCTGGAAGGGAAACCAGCCCCTTGGAGGCAGAGCTAGAAATGAGCCTTGGAGAGGGGGTGCTGTGGGTGCCCCAGCTGGTGCCCTGACCCACTGGGTGTCCACGGGCACAGAGAGGGGTGGCTGGTGCCCCTGCAGGGATCAGGTGTCCCAGGAATGCAGCTTCCCCCTGGGAACTCCCAAGCAGCTGCCACTGGGGTGTGGGGACATTCTGGTGGCACCTGCCCTGCTTGAGGGACCTGCCTTTGCCTCAGGTGATGGGGACACCTCGGGTTCCCCTGTGCCTCAGTTTCCCTTCCCCCTGCCAGAGTGTGGAAGTGTTTCTGGGGGCCAGGCTGAACCCCAGGCCAAGGGATTGTTCAGTCTGCCCAAAGCAGGGACAGCAGGGAGGGTGACCCAGCAGGCAGCCCCAGCCCCAGCTGCTGGGGTTCACTGACCTTCATCCCCTCAATCCCCAGCTCCCCTGCAGGACAAGGAGGGCAGGACCTGCCCAGGAGGGCTGAGGTCCCTCAGCTCCCTGCATGCCAGGCCCTCAGCAGCTGTGAGGAAGGAAAAGACCTGCTGGCCACCTCCCAGCTAGGAACCATCTTGCCAAAATCAACCATCCAAGCCTCTCCCTTCCTAGCACACTAAGCCAAGTGGTCCTGACACCTCCTGGCCTCAAACTACAGTGTGGGAGACCATGAGGAAGGCAAATGAAAGCAGCAGGAGCCAAAAAACACCCACATCTGCAGAGCCCCAGCTGCCTCAGGCAGGCAGGAGAGGGCACACTGTCCCAGGCAGGGAAGCTTCTCCCTGAAGCCCAAAAAGGAGCTGTGGAAAGGAGGAACTCTCAGGCCCTGTTTGAGCTCCCTTCCCTGCAAGAGAGCAGGAGAGGAGCTGGTTTGAGGGCACCAGCCTCTGTATCCAGGGGAGATTCTCAGCCTTTCCCAGGACTCAGCCCTTTTCCCTGAAGAGTTTCTCATCTATAATCAGGAAACAAACAAGCAAACGTTATGGTCACAGTAAATCCAGCTCTAGGCTTAACTCCAACCTCCCAAAAAACGTGGAGGAGGCCAGACACCCTGCAGGTTTGTCCCCCACCTCTCATCTGTGGAGGTGACCTTGTGGTTCCAGCAGTTTTGGGGTCCTTAGGGGCTGTTTTTCTCTTGTATTTGCCAGGGGATGGGCTGCCTGCCCCCAGCTGCTCAGCACTCACCCCCTCCTGCCCCTGCAGTTGCTCTGCTCTGTAACTCCTGCCCACCCAGCCCCTCTCTCTGGCCTCAGGAGCCTCCCACAAAGGACAAAAGAGCTGGCTGGTACTTTTGAAGTTTGCCTTTCACCTTCCTTCTCTCTGGTTTCACTGCAGACACACTGAATGCTCTGTGAGGCTGCTGTGCCCACGGGGTGGCAGGGAGGGGGGGAAGCAGTTGGCAGTGCCCCTGCTGAGACCCCCAGAGCTCTTCATCCCCACCTGGAAGGCAGAGCAAAGCCAGGTTCAAATGTCTCCATTACAGCCCCATTCACTTGATGGCCTCAGTTTAAGGCTGGGGACAAGAGGGAATTGATTCCAGACCTGCCTTGTCCCCTGTGCTGGAGGGGAGATCCCCCTGGGACCTGACCAAGGCACACCTCAGGGTGGGCTGAACTTGCCCACCCTGCTTCAAACTCAGCTGTGGGAGCCCAAGGTCATCCTTTACATGCAAAGAGATGTTGTTTATTCTCAGTTCTTCGGTGTTTTAGAACTGGGCTGCACACAGGGGTGGCATTTGTGCCCTCTGAGAGGCAGGGGCAGTGTCAGAGTCCGGGCACTGCTCAGTCCTGATGAGCTTGAAGGTCCCTTCCAACCCAAACCACTCCATGATGACCTTTCTGCAGCCTCCTCTGGATTCTCAGAGGCAAAATATTTGAGTCCTGGCTCTCATGTGTGGGCTCTGAGGAAGGAGGGAAGGGCTGGGGAAGTCCCAGTGACCTACATGAACCAACATCTGGCCTGTTGATTGTGCTGCAGCGTCGGGGGCTCCAGGGGGATCAGCTTTTCCTGCTGCTGCCAGGGAATTAGGGCTGAACTGAGCCAAGATTCTTGGAAAGAGGTGGATTGTAGGATGGTGGTAGGAAGAGAGAAAAGCTGCTTAGAAATGTACTGGGAGGATATCTGGGTAGACACGATCTGGGAAGAGACATTTCCATTTCTCTTCTGCCCCCTCCACCAGGTCCTGGGGCTGCCAGGGTGGCTGTGCAGAGTGTTTGTCTCCCAGTTCTTGTGGAGAGACCCAGGGGACAGAAGGAAAAAAGGGAAGAGGAGGAAGTGGAGTCACAGTGCAAGGCCAGATGGTCAGTTCATCCGTGTCTCTGGTCAGAAAGCTGGTGGCAGCATTTCAGGCAGGCTCTTGGTTTGAATTGGATTGAAAAAATGATGGGGAATTCCTTCAGTGCTTCCCAAAACTAGGCAGGAAAGGTATGGGAAAGGGTGGAGTCCTGCCAGGAGAATCCAAGAGCAAAGAACTCCTCACTGTCTGCCTTTCCAGCACCTGGGCTGCTCCAGCCCCACTGCAGCCCAGCCTGCCCTGCCCTTGGCTGCAGAGGAAGTAGGCAGATGGACATGGATGGAGCCTGGGATGGCTCCATCTGCAGTAACACACACCTGGCTTCTCTCCCATCCCAGTTCCCCTGCAGAACTGGGACCAGTTCTGGAGCCCCCAACACAAGAAGGACATGGAGCTGGTGGAGAGAGGCCAGAGGAGCCCTGGAGATGCTGGGAGGGCTGGAGCAGCTCTGGAGCCAGGCTGGGAGAGTTGGGGGGTTGAGCCTGGAGAGGAGAAGGCTCCAGGGAGACCTTAGAGCAGCTTCCAGGGCCTGAAGGGGCTCCAGGAAAGCTGGGGAGGGACTTGGGCCAAGGGCAGGGAGGGATGGGATGAGGGGGAGGGATGAAAAGTGGGAGAGGGAGCTGGAGGTTGGAGCTGAGGAGGGAATTGTGGAGTGTGAGGGTGGGGAGAGCCTGGGCCAGGTTGGCCAGGGAAGCTGTGGCTGCCCCATCCCTGGGGGTGTTGAAGGGCAGGTTGGATGGGGCTTGGAGCAGCCTGGGCTGCTGGGAGGTGTCCCTGCCCATGGGGGGGTTGGATCTGGATGATCTTGAAGGTCCTTCCAACCCAAACCATCCCATGGTTCTATGATTAAAAAAAAGGGGTCATGGCAGGTACCTACCACAGCCTTCAAAAGGACAACCAAGAAGTCCTTGTGCCACTGAAGGCCAAGCCTGATCCCTCTCTCCCTTCTCAAAAGCCTCCATGAATCCCCTCTGGCTGCTGAAGGTCTTTGGGGGCCTAAGCAGCCCCCCCAGCAGCTGCCAAAACACCCCCCAGGGTCTGGGCAGGTCCCTGGGTGGGTTCTGCCCTGCAGAGGGACAGGGCTCAGCAGGGGGGAGCAGCACCCAGGGCCTGTGGGTCACCTGGGCCTGAATGTTCTTCACCCAACCCCCAAATCAGCTGTCAGCACTAATTCCTCCAGGTTAAAAATAGGAAGTGTTAATCTTTCTCCCTCCAGCTTTTGTTGTGCTGTCTCCAGAACAGCACCAAGAGCTAATATGATTGTCCCTTTTAATCAGCAGATGAAAGTCCCACCTCCTCCCAGCATCTCCTGCCTCCACATCAACCTCCTCCAAACAGACAGGGTCCTGTTCCTGCTGCTGGAGCAGGTCCTGCTCATTATTAGGAGGGTCCACAAGCAGAAACACTTGCCTCTCCTGCCACCTGCAAGGCTGGAACTGGATTGATTTTTGATTATTGTTAAATTTTTTTTCTGGTTTTTGCAGGTAAAAGATGAAAAAAACATCCAGGAAATGTTTGACCTGAGTGATTATGAGAAATGTGAAGAGCTCAGGAAGTCCAAAAGCAGAAGCAAAAAGAACCACAGCAAATTTACCCTGGCCCACTCCAGGCAACCTGGGAACACGGTACCTCTGCCAGGAATCTGGGAGGTGAAATGGGATAGTCTGAGCTGTGGAGGAGCCCAGACTGTGGCTTGTGCTCTCAAACACTTGATCATCCATCTCCCACGGCAGGAGATGGAGGGAGAGGCAGAGTTTCTGCTGGGGAGACACTCAGGCCTGTAGTGTAGGAAGTAAATAGGAGCAAGGGCTGAGCTCTGGATCCGTTTACCTGGGATTATCCAGACTTTGGGGAAGGAAGAAGCTGGAACATTTGCCAGGAGCAAGGACAGAGCTGTTCTACCAGCAGCTGGGGTTCAGCCAATTGCACTTGGTCATTCCCAGAGAAGGGAGGGATGCTGCAGGTCCTTGGGCAGCATCAAAACACCTGCAGGGGGATCCTTGGGCAGCATCAAAACACCTGCAGGGGAATTTGTCCCAGGAGAACTTTCTGCCCAAAGGAAAGCTGAAAAGTGCTGGAATGGGGACAGTGCTGCCTTGGAGCAGGACTTGCCACTGCAGAGAGAGAGAGGCAGTCTCTGCCTACAAGCTGTCTCTGGCACAGATGCACCCACCCACAGCCACACACGTGAGCTGGGCTGACACTCCTCAGCCTGCCTTGTTTCAGCAGCCCAAGCTTTGCTGAGGATTGTGTAACATCACAAAATGCCAACAGGGAAGGGAAGGGGAGATTTTTGGAAAGAGGCTGCACTGTCCCCAGATGCCCTGAGAGAACTGAACAAAACCCTGCAGAGGACAAAAGCAATTTCTACTGAGTGTCTAACTTTATATAAAAAAAATAGCCCTGAGGGTCCTGGGCCCCCTGTACAAGGGAGATTTTCAGAGCTGCTCTGCCCTCAGGGTGCATCTGACAAGTCAGAGAAGGGACAATCTGTCTCCTTCTGTGGGTACCTGCTGGAGCTGCTTGTCTCCCAGGCTCTGTCAGAGTCTGAGGTGGCAGCAGATAAATGGCATGTGAGCAGCAGCTGCAGAGGGGCTGCCTCACCCCCCGAGGAGGGCAGGAATGGAGGCTGGTGTGTGGGAAGGCAAGGAGGGGGAAGGAGGAGCTGCAGCCACCAGGGGAGTCAAGCTGGGACACAGCTTTGGGGCTGAAAAGCTGGTGCTGAGAAGAATCCTGCTCTGCTTTGCCCTTGCAAAGGCCAAAGGATGGCCAAGGATGCCAAGGCTGCCAAGGATGGGAGGATCTGGTCTGGTTTGGGCTTCCCCACCAAGGCGAAGCAGCTGTAGGGACCATGGAGCTTTTCTGTGGGCAGGGGCACTGAAAGCATCTCTGTGTGAGTTTAGTCAAGTGGCTCTGACCTCAATTCCCTCTTTTGTAGGCACCAAATCTGATCTTCCTGGCTGTGAGTCCAGAAGAGAAGGAGTCCTGGATTAATGCCCTCAACTCTGCCATCACACGTGCTAAAAACCGCATCTTAGATGAGGTGAGCAGGACCCTGAGGGCTGGTCCAGCCTCCCCTGGACCAGCTTTCATCTTGGGTGAAGATCTTAGGCTGCTGGAGGCAGCAGCAGCCCCTCTTGCCCTCTCCATTTCCTATGTAAAAGGGATGCAACCCCCTGGGATTTATGGCCTGAGCTCCAGAAAACATCTACAGAGTGGGCTCCCCTGCAGGGCTGGGATAATTTGATCCTCCCAGCCTCGTGCAGCCCTGATGGCAAAGCCATGGCAAGGTTCTGTCCCACCCAGTGGAGCCCAGTCCTGCCTCACACTGGGATGTGGGATCCCTGGAATGGTTTGGAGGGCCCCTGGGAACACGCACAGGGCTGGTGCTTGCAAAGGAGCTTTAAGTAGTGGGAGTGAATTAAGGAATTAACTGGAAACCAATCCTGTCCCCTGCTATCTTCAGAGCACCCTGATGGCACCATCTGTCACCTCAGCCCATCCTCACCCCCTTCCCTCTCAATCCCCTTCTCCAAGGGACAGGCTCATTTCCAAGGCTCCAGCTGCAGGAATGGGACTCACTGGGCTTTTCAACTTTGTGGGTCCCTCCCTGCTGTTCAAGGACCAAACCAGGAAGGTTTGATCCTGCCTTCTCAGCACTGCCTGGGATGTGTATTTCTCTCCTATTTGTCACTCCCAAAAGAACCAGCAGCTTTAACCAGAAAAAAAACCAAACAAGAAAGCACCATCAGCTCAGCCTCCTGCTGGAGATCAAGGGTGCTCAGCCAGGCTGATCCAGGCCAGGACTGGGTTGGGATGAGCATTCCCACAGAGTTTATAGTCCAGTGTGAGTGATCACTACCTTGGGAGCCCCTGGTTCCCCAGAGCATTGCAGAGCTGGCTGGGACAAATGCTTTCTGACACCTTCTCGAGGTCCATCTCATCCCCACACAACTCACCAGGCTGTGATGCTGCTGCTTCTCCTTGGATGGCAACACAAAAGCCTGCAGAGAAGGAAAAGGAAGGTCAGCCTGTGGGGAAAGCTGCAGAGCAGGAAGGAACACAGCAAAGAATGGGGCAGGGTGCTGCAAGGAGGGTGTCACTGAGCTCTCCACAAACAGATGCAGCAGGTAATTGTCTGGAGATCTGATCCCCCCCAGGCCCTCAGGGGAGAGAGGAGGGAAACAGTCTCAGGTTCTTCTGAGCCTGGATTCCCCCCCCCCATTCCCTGCAAATCTGCTCTCAGAAGGTCACCCTCTGTGCATCACATGGCTCAGGGAGTCCCATCCACACATCTGGGACCAGTGGTGGCCCTTGGGACCAGTAAGTCGTGGACACTGCAGGCAGGAAAACTGTATGTGGGTTCTGGACTCCGTCTGCAAGCCCAGCTTCTGCCTGCTGAGCATCCCTGCCTGAGGGGTTATGGGATGGATCCTGGCCCACAGGGGAGTGGGAGAAGTTCACCCTCAGCATGTCATAGAATCATAGAATCATGGGATGGTTTGGGTTGGAAGGGACTTTCCAGATCATCTAGATCAAACCCCCTGCATGGGCAGGGACACCTCCCACCAGCCCAGGTTGCTCCAAGCTCCATCCAACCTGCCCTTGGACACTGCCAGGGATGGGGCAGCCACAGCTTTCCTGTTCCAGAGCTTCACTACCCTCACAAGGAAGGATTTTCTCCTCATGTCCAACCTCAATCTCTTCTGCTCCATTTTAATCCATTCTCCCTTGTCCTCTCACCACAAGCCCTTGTCCAAAGTATGGCCAGATCACAAGAGAAAGGCAATCCTGGAGGAGTAAATGCTCCACCACGGTGCTCCTGGCTGGTTCCAGCTCTGGGAGGAAGGAGTGGCTCATGTTTCCTCTGCTCCAAGACATTCACTTGCTTTGTCACCACTCCAGGTCACTGTTGAAGAGGACAGCTACCTGGCCCACCCCACACGGGACAGAGCCAAGATCCAGCACTCCCGACGGCCCCCGACACGGGGACACCTGATGGCTGTGGTAGGTACCTGCCATGACTCTATGACTCCCTTGTTCTTGTACAGAAAACCCCTTTTTTTTAATCATAGAACCATGGGATGGTTTGGGTTGGAGGGACCTTCAAGATCATCCAGATCCAACCCCCCCCATGGGCAGGGACACCTCCCAGCAGCCCAGGCTGCTCCAAGCCCCATCCAACCTGCCCTTCAACACCCCCAGGGATGGGGCAGCCACAGCTTCCCTGGGCAACCTGGCCCCGGCTCTCCCCACCCTCACACTCCACAATTCCCTCCTCAGCTCCAACCTCCAGCTCCCTCTCCCACTTTTCATCCCTCCCCCTCATCCCATCCCTCCCTGCCCTTGGCCCAAGTCCCTCCCCAGCTTTCCTGGAGCCCCTTCAGGCCCTGGAAGCTGCTCTAAGCTCTCCCTGGAGCCTTCTCCTCTCCAGGCTCAACACCCCAACTCTCCCAGCCTGGCTCCAGAGCTGCTCCAGCCCTGGGACCATCTTCCTGTCCCTCCTCTGGCCTCTCTCCAGGAGCTCCTTTGGCCAAGTGGGAGTTTGCCATTGCTCACACCTCCTGATGACAACACAGCTCTTCTTTCCCTGTTTTTCCAGGCATCTACCTCAACCTCGGATGGCATGCTGACACTCGACCTGATCCAGGAGGAAGAGGCCTCTCCAGAGGATCACAGCACCTGTGAGGAGAGTTTCCGGGTGGATCTGGACAAGTCTGTGGCCCATCTCACTGCCGGACGGCGCCGCTCGGACTCCGAGAACGTCAAATCCCCGGAGAAAGGCCGGACAGGGAGTCTCCCAAGCCAGGAGGTGACCTCCTGGGACAGGTTTGGGCAACGCAAGGACTCCTTTGACAAAGGGACCATGTACACGCCGCAGGTCCCCAAAAAGCTCTCGCACTCCGAGAAGAATAAATGTGCCTCCATGGAAGAGATCCTGTCCCGCCGGGACTGTTCGGCGCAGCGGGCGGTGCTGAGGAGGGGGCTGGAGGCCCATTTTGCCTCAGCAGAACCAGAGCAGCTCTCCCGGATACAAGAACTGGTTGCACTCAAACTGGAAAAAACTCAGGAACTGCTGACAGAGGTGAAGGGCTACGGGGAAGGCAAGAGAAAGACCAAGGATTCTAACACCAGCACCACCACCACTTCTTCCTCATCATCTTCCAAGACGGACTCTGAAAGGATCCTGCAGGAATCGGAGAGGTTGCTCGGGGAGGCTTCCTCCACCTGGAGCCAAGCCAAGAGGGTGCTGCAGGAGATCAAAGAGTTGAGGGACCTGTACAAACAGTTGGAACTGCAGCAGTCGGACTCAAAACCCAAACAGAGCTCACAGTCTCAGTTCAGGAAGAGCATGATGTGAAGGCAAGCCTTGGGCTGGGGCGGGAGGGGCAGGGGAGGGCAGCCAGCTGGTCTTTCTTTTTTTTTTATTATTCTTTAATTATTATTATTTACAGTGTTCAAAAGAGTGAAAAGGTGCCTGTTCTCACCCAAATTTGCTTCTCAAAGCTTGAACCTTTCCTTTCCTCCACCGCCCCCCTTGACGAAACAACCCGGTGTTCCAATAAACCCAGTTCCAGTTGATACCTCCTTTTTTAAAGAGCACCCTTTGCACCCCAGGCCTGTGTCCAGAAAATTCCCTTGTCCCTTCCCAGAAGATTCCCCTGCATGCCTGGAGCAGCACGTGCACAGCAACGGGGACAGATGCTCTTGTGCTGTACGAGCCCTGGCTTTGCTGCTCTGATGTCTGAGCTGTGTCCTGCATTACAGCTCCTTGACCAAGAGTCTCGTCTTGTTCCCTCACTGTCCTCTTGGAAATAAATGACAAAAACAAAAAGGTGTCCGTGCCAGCCAATGCTTGGAAGTCCCCATGATCCAGGAATTGTCTTGAAGATGCTTGGAAGTTCAGGTTGATCCTGAGCTGTAAGGCAGAGGCGCTGGCTGGGGCGCAGCGAGCGAGGGCACAGGTCTCTGCTGGGAGCTCCTGGGGTTGGCAGCTCTTGTTCCTCTGCTCCAGGAAGGGACAGGAATGTCACCTGTGTCCCAACCAACCCTCTGCCCCTCCATGCTTTGCAGAATCCCCTTGGCCCTGTGCCATGGCCAGTTGGCAGCTCCACGTCTTCCTTTCTGTGCAAGCAGAAGATCAAAGCCTTGAATCTTTTAACAGTTGGGTCACTTGGGGGGGTTGTTTTTTTGGCTTTTCCATTTTCCTTTCCTTTTTGGTTTTTTCCCCCTTCTCTTTGAGCTGAAGGGAAATGGCAAAATCAGGGCTGTGTGCAGGCAGCAGCTGGAAATCAAGAGCCAGAAGTAGTTTGGGGTGGTTTGATTCTGTCTCTCCCACCTGCTCAGCAAACAGTCCTTGTTGCTGCCCTGAGGTGAGAATCAGGCCTCCTGGAGGGAAAGCTGAGCCTGCAGCAGAGCTCAGGTACCCTCCTCTGGGTGATGCCAGGCACTCTGAGAAAGAGGTGGCTCACTTTTCATTCCTTGAAGCAGCAAGACAAGCAAGGAGGATGTTAAGATGCCTCCCAGGGCTCAAAGTGCACCAACGGGCTCCCATCCCACTGGGAGGTTTTCTTTTTAAAAATGGAAATGTGATCCCTCACCTCCAGTGCCAACCATCCATCAGCACAGGGAAAGCAGCAGGTCTCTCCTGGCTGCAGGGGCTGGTGTCTGTTTTCTGTTCATCACTGGCTTCCCTTGGGAGGGAGTGTGAGGGTGGGGAGAGCCTGGGCCAGGTTGGCCAGGGAAGCTGTGGCTGCCCCATCCCTGGGGGTGTTGAAGGGCAGGTTGGATGGGGCTTGGAGCAGCCTGGGCTGCTGGGAGGTGTCCCTGCCCATGGGGAGTGGGATCTGGATGATCTTGAAGGTCCCTCCAACCCAACCCATCCCACCCAGTGGGTGGAACTCACCAACAGGTCACCATCAGGAAGAGTTTCTTCCCTAGAGAGGCAGAGGAACAGCTCAGGATGGTGCTGAACTCCCAGCAATTCTCACCCTTATTTTCTCTCATTACAAGAACTGAGGAGAAATGTTTTCTTTTTCCCACAACTCCCCTCTAAAAACTGCAAGAAGGAAAATGATTCAGCTGCAGTTGCAGTGATTCTCCCCAGTCTCTTCCCTGCAGGAAGCCTGTGGCACCAGGGAGGGTGGGATGCAGCAGGATCCTCCTTCCAGCCCAGTTCCCTCCTGCCCCAGGGGTTCCTTGTCCCAGGGGATGGGAAGGAATTTCAGATGCTGTTGCCATAAAAAGGGATCTTCCTCATGAATGGATTTACAATCCCTGTGCTCTGACCCCTCTAAGTCATGGAAGGAAGGGAATTGTACTTGAATTAAAGGATTCCAGGAGAATTTTTTGGAGAGCTGTGAGGGTTCAGGAGCCTGTTGGAGTTTCACCACTCACATGGAAATGTCACAACAGCCAAGAACCAGGAGTTGCTGTTCCTTAGGGAGAAGTGGCTGCTCCTCCCCAACACCTCGGATGACCCAGATGGTCCCAGGGCAGCTGCTCCCTCTCCTTTCCCCCAACACACCAGAAAATCATACACAGAAAATGGGACCTTCAGCCCAACCAGCCTATGGGAAGACTGCACTTGGCCACCTGAGACAAACCCCCAAGCACCTCCAGGACATCAAACTCCAGAGTTGTGGCTGTGATCTCAGCTTCTCAGCTCTCTGGGAGCACTGGTGTTGTGCTCAAAGAACCCCTTGGAATTGCTCTGGGCACTGGGCAGCAGCTTTGGAGGAAGATGGGATGTTAATGTGGATAAAACAAAGTTGGAAGAGTTTCTTTCTACCTGGTCTCCACACAGCAGGATGAAGGGCAGAGTCTGGAAGCTGAGAGGTTTTGTGCTTTAACCTTTCCCTCCTGGTGCACCCAGGGCACCCTCCCCTGGCTGTACTCTGGCACTGGGTGGGTGGCAATGCCAAGAATAAATCCATGGGCAGGGTGGCTCAGCAGGCACACCCTGTGCTCCTGGGATGCTCCACAGCCCAGCAAGGCAAAATTGGCTGGGGCAATTTGACACAAGCAGTGTCAAATGCCAACAAATCAGTTTCATTAAAGCAGCTGAAGAATCTGAAGATCAAGACCCCCCTGCTGCTTCACACGCTGCATGGCTGAGCCTGGAGGGGATTTCAGAGCCCAGGAGAGCTTGTCCTGCCAGGGCTGCACTTGCCAGAACCTGGAGAAAGGCAAGAGATGGCCCTGGATGAGCCACTGGAGCTGCCAGGCTGGGAACAAGCCTCTGCCACTGGGAGGAGACCAGGGCTTCCCAACTGGGGCTGTCCTGTGGAGTCACTGCAAGGACATGAGTGGGAAGCTGCAGTTTTCTTTGTGTTAAAGAGCTGCCAGGAACCAGAGTGAGTGGGAGGCCTGGAGGGGCTGGTGCAAGGCCAGATCCACGTGTCAAATAGGAACTGGGATCACAGAAGTGCTGCCTGGGTTTGAGCTGAGCGTGGCCTGGGGTTCAGGTGTGGGGCTCTGCAGAGAACTGAAACTCACCAAGGAAACTTCCAGGCTGCTTTCATTCAAAAAAAAAAAATCATTCCCAACTTCTACTTCCCTCAGAATCAGTAAGGAATGGATGGCAGAGGACCTGGGGCTGTTTGTATTCCAGCTGCAGGAACCCACAGGGAACAAAAGACCCCAGGAAGGACCCAAGAGGGACTGTGATGTGCCTGGAGCAAAGCTGGGGCAGGTGGGGTTGGGAACAGGGAGAGTTTGGAGCCAATTAGAAGAGTTTTTACAAACCCAACAGGGAACAGCCCAGCTAAGGGTGCTCCCTGACTGTACTGAGCTTGTGCCAGGAGGGCAGGTAGTGGCTGAAGGAGGGATGGCAGAGGGAAGGGGGGTTCCTGCCACCATCACACCTCTTCTCTGTTAAAGAAACCCAGGGGAGTGCAGGAGGAGGAGAAAAGGCAGCTCCAAGCATCCCAGGATGGATTATGCATAGAGGTTCAGGCCATTC